GATCCAGGCTGGGCCACATGAGTCTTGCAGTAATGCCATGACTAGGCTATAGGAGATTTCCCAAATCCAGGTCAGTCCCTGTAACAGGAGTACAGAAGCCAATACATTGATGTCTCATACATTTTCTTCTGCTGCAGACGTAGTTGCTGCTTTGTCTTTAGGTGGAACAAATATATGCTCCGACTGTGTAAATACAGAGCCCCTCTCTGAGCTATGAGAATTCTAGTTGGTGTGGGAAAAAAAGACTCTGCATAGACACATCTGCACAATCACGTCTCCTTTCTCTGAATCCCCGCAGCTCCTACTATCTATGCCACACAGCATAGCCCTTGGTTTTTACATTGTCTTCTGTGCTCTGTTTATTATTCACAAGTCTTATCTGCCCTAAAGAATGGGAACACTTTATTTGAATCCTGTTATTAATTGATAAATTTTCTTTTTGTCAACACAATCTTTTTTGGAGGCTGTTGGCCGCTCACGGTTCTACATATGTCGGGGAGATCAGAGATTCTGTCGACCTGGTTTCCAGCCCTGGCTCTGTGACTGGTGGATGAGCAGTGTACGAGTGAGCACTGACTCTCACAGCACCTGGATCCCTGTCACTAAGAGGGAGTAACAGCACTGACCTGCCTCATGGAGCGAAGTGTCATATGCATCAACTGCCTAATGATGCTAAAGCTCTTTGAGAATATAAACGTGAAACATTATCATTATGGTTAATACTAGTCTTCGGTTTTCAAGTTTTTTTTTTCCTTGAAGAGGAGAGGCAGAAAGATTATTTAAAGAAACAGTGAATAGAAGGCTACAGTTTTGTTTTGTTTTTTTTTTTGTGGTATACAGTTTGTTCTTAATTCATGACTGACTTTGATCAGAATGTCATAAGCAGTGGGAATGCGGTCTTGAAGTCCTGAAGGTAACTATTTCTACTTCAGGGCATGAAGGCTTCTCTTTAGGAAGAGAAGTCGTGTTTCCTAAAAGCTCCTGCTACAAAAGAGGCCAAGCTGAGTAGACAGAGCTGGCCTGAGTCTTGAACATCTTGCCATGGAAGGACCCAGAGCAGGAGAGACTGCAATGATTTTTTAAAGCCCCTACAGTTTTTTAGAATTTCAAGAGTGAAAGGATTCTTGGAGATCCAAAAATCCTTGTTCAGTGTCCTTTCCACTTGTGACAGGCATCGGTGGATCCCCAGTGGTATGTCTCCTATTGCTTCTGTAACAAATTACCACAATCTTAGTGGCTTAAAGCAACACAAATTTATTATCTTTCAGTTCTGGAGGCCACAAGTCTGAAAAGAGTCTTAAGGGGCTAAAATGAAGGTGTTAGCAGGGCTGGTTCCTTCTGGATCCGGGGGAGACTCTGTTCCTTGCCTCTTTCAGCTCTGGTGGCTGCCCACATTCCTTGGCTTGTTGCCACATCACTGCAATCTCTGCTCCCATCATCACATGGCCTTCTCTTCTTTATCAAATCTCCCTCTTCCTCCCTCTTATAAGGAGCCTTTTGATTACATTGGACCCACCTGGATAATCCAGGATAATCTCCCCATCTCAAAATCCAGGCCAAGGGAACAGTAACAGCCATGAGGTCAGCACGCTGCGGGGGATGCAGGGGGAGGGTGCAGTAGGAGAAGAGCTCGCTGAAGGGTGCGGCGGGGGGTGGGGTGGGTTGGGGAATGGTGGGCAAGGTCATATAGGATTATGGGCCAAGGTCAGGACTTTGGCCTGTACTCTAAGTGAGAGGGAAACTACAGTTGGATTTTGAGCAGAGGAATGAATGACATGATCTGACTTGCATTTTTCCAGGACCACTCTGGCTTCTGGGTGGAGACAGGAGGCTCTTGCAATAATCTAGGCAATAGGTCATGGTGGTTGGATCAAGGTGGTGGGAAGTGGTGGATTTCTGGATATATTTTCAAGGTTGAGCTGTTAGAATTTGCTGATGAATTGGCTGTGGGGTGTGAGAGAAAGACAGGAGTAAAAGTTGACTCCTAGGTTTTTGGTTTTAGCAGCAGGAAAGTGGGGAAAAACTGCAGGAAGAGAGAGATGTGGGAAGAAGATGGAGAGTGGGGTATGGACATATTAGGATTTGAGAATTACAAGTGGAGATGTGTCAAGCTATGCAGCTGGATTTGCTAGTCTATAGTTCAAAGGAGAGGTAGGGAAAATCTTCAGAAAATACTCAAAACCTATAAAGCCTGCTTACTTGTTAAAGGATGAAGGAGAAGCCCTTTAATACGACATCTAGGATTTTCTATGGGTTGGTTTTAGCCTCATCTCTCATTGAGCTCCTACACCCAAGGTTTCAATCACTGATATCTTTCAAAACCCCTTGCCCTTTCATGCTTCATTGTCTCTACTTGTGTTGTTCCCTCCACCTGGAATATGCATCCCTCCCTTGCCACCAAAATCCTGTTCATCCTTCAAGGCCTGTGAGCCCCTTCTGATTGCTTTAGTTGAAATCCATCATCCCCTCCTCTGTGCTCCCAGGTAGACAGATGGTGTGTTCTCCATCTACCTTATATCTGACTACTTGTGTTTGTCTATATCCCTTCTAGATTGTGAGTTGCTTGAGAGTAGGGAAGGACCATGGTTCATTGGTGCTTATATCTCGAAGATGTCTCCAAGATGGAGACAGACAGGGGTGTGATCCTGAAAATCAGAATCCTCAGTCTGTCAGTTTACCACTACTGGTTTTGAGGTAGAAATGCATGAAGACATGGCCAGACAAGAGTACACTATTGATGACTACACGTTGTTGGCCAAAACCCGCATGTGGAACCCATAGCCGAGGGAGCTCGCTTCACCAGGTGAGAGTCACAGTTTCTTCTTTGCCTCCTGAAGAGCTCAAGGATTAGACTAAAAACTGGCTTCCTTGGTCCCTTTCTCACACCCAGGCCTTGACCACTGTGTGTGAAGGCAAGAGGGCAAGGACAATTGAATCTAACAGGGAGATGGTCCAGGGAAATACAGCTTAGAGCAGAGCTGGGCTAAGTTAACCCCTGAGGCATTGGGAGATGGGGGTGGTAGGAAGTTGAAGGCTTAACTTATCACACTAACCAAATATAGGGACATAGTCTGGAAATTGAGGGACTAGATAGGAGGGGAGAGAGCCAGGCAGGGATGCAAGAGCATTTGACCTGTTGCTTATTGCACAGAATCTCCTATGCTGCATCAATGTCCAGTAGTGCTCTAAGCAGTGTCCCACACCAGTGCACCTCCTCCTTGGCAATGAGCTGCAATGAGGAGAGCCTGATTCCACCACGAGATGGAGCCTGCCCCTGCATCTGGCCCTGATTTTCACCTAGCAGGTGCTGAATAAGTTTTCATTGGATTTGCCAAATTGGATAAATCCTCAGGAATGCACATGTATTCCCAATGGAAAGACTTAGGGGTATCTCTGTGTCAATGACAGCAAGTGTGATAGAAATCTAAGGTTTTCTTGCAATCCTAGTATAAGACATAGTATAGTGTAGTGGGTAAGAGTGAGGGCTCTGGAGCTGTGTGACCTTGGACAAGTTAACCTTCCAGGGCCTCAGTTTCCTCATCCATAAAATGGGAGTAATGATATTTCTCACCTCAGAATGTTTTTGAATTAACTAAATGAGTTAATACTTGTAAATACTTATAACAGTGCTGGGCACATAGTGAATGTTGGATATGTTCTAGCTATTTTATAAGTGTGGGTTAGCTATAGAATGTCAGAGAGTCGTATGTCAGAGGATGTCTCTAGGTCTTTGTTCTAAAAAGGTTTAAAATTTCTGAGGAAGAAAGATTTAGATTTTTATCACGCTGTCAGTCTCTTTTACCTGAATATTTTACCTGAATATGCAGCCCATATCCTGGCAGCACACATGACTCTTCTTATCCAGAGGGACGACCATTATTGGAGCTGGTTATGGGGCTGATATTCAGGCAGCTGCTTTTGGGCATGATCCCAAGTGAAATGTTTGAGCTGGCTCTTCCCTCAGACTCAGAAGTCACCTGCTAATGTGAACTTCAATGGTCCTGGGATGCTCAGCTGGAATCTCTGGCTTGTGTCACACCAAGCAGGTGGTCTGGGACCAAAGGGACAGTAATTGGCAACAATGGTTGTTGGAAGGTTACCAAGGCCCGGGAACATTCTCATTGGTTGTGTGTGTGTGTGTGTGTGTGTGTGTGTGTGTGTGTGTGGTCTCTCCAGATGGGTAAAAAGGGTCATACTAGGAATCCCTGAAGCAGTATTTTCTTCTCAACTTTCCTGGCTTTCATTGTTCAGAATTTCATTTTTGTCTTGGTAGTTTGAGGATCTTTTCAGTACATCCTTCTGCTCTTTTCTCTCTCCTATTAATATTTGTCTGACCAGTTAGAACTGTGACCTGGGAATCCTACATGCCTTTCTGATGGTATCCTTTTAACTTTTTTATTCACCTTTTTAAACTACATTTCCCCCCATTTCTATGAGGATCATCCTTGAGCAGTGAAAACTCTTGATGGTAAGAGGTGTCCAGCAGGGGCAGAGGGACTCTTAGGTAAATAAAGACTTCTGTTTTGCTGCCTGATTAACTAAACCTCCCCTCTCCCTATATTCCAGTGTCAATAACTCCTGTCACTTTCTGAATTCCAAGAGGAGAATTTACTTTTGAAATCAGAAAAAAAATCAATGCTCAAAGGCCTCTCTTTTTTGAACCCTATTTAGTTGGATCAGTTATAATCTTTTATTTCCTGTGATAGATTTTACACACGAATATTCATTCAACAAATATTTACTAAGTGTCTGCTGGGGCAAGACCCAGTTCTAGCGTTAAAGGGGAATATAAAATATATAATACATTTCTATCTATCTACACATATGATGTACATTATACTCTAACTGGGGGGGACACAGCATATGCAAAAGTGGGGGACCATACTGAAGAAAGAGTTGAGAAACAGTGCTTAGGACCTCATGACTTTTGCTCAGTTTGTTATAAAGAAACTTTTTTTTTCTTACAGGGAGGAAATAATTCTGATGTCACTGAAATGTGTGAAGATTCATCCCTCCCCCGAGGGTATGTGTTCAAAGGGGGTGGTCCACACTTAAATTCTACCCAGAGCATTGTTGCTTATGGCCCATGAGCCCTTTGGGATGTACTTTGTGGCTGCCCGTGGGGTCCTATGCCCTCTTCTGAGAGGAGGCAGCTTAGTGCGAGGCAGATCCAGGTTCCACTCCCTGCTCCTCCACCTGCTGTGTGCCTTTGGGTGAGTTACTCAACTTCTCTGAACCTCAATTTGATCATCTGCAAAACAGAGATAGTAGCACCTACCTCATGATGTAAAAATTAAAGTGAGATCATATATGTACCATACATGGTTCATAGAAAATGAGCAGTTTACGTAAATTCCCTCTATTCTTATACCAAGATTTACATTTTCTTTTCCTTTTTTTTCTTCTCCTTTTAATTTCCTTTTTTCTTGTAGTAGGGACGAATGTCCGAATCACTTCAATTAGTCCATCTGGGTTCCAGGCACATCTGAGATTAATATCAGCCAGAACTTGAGCATCATTGCCAAGATGTGAGCTCCTTAGGCTGGCACATGGACCACATGAACGGACTTTCTTCTAGTGCTAGGTGATGCTAATTGCCATCTGATCTGAAGCCAGAGTTGCTTTCCTTTGTTTAATAATTTATATCTTCTCTGAGAACACCGAGCTAAAGTTTAAAACTACAGAAAGGAATGATTTATCTAAATGCCAACAAAGCTAAAGGCAGCAAAATCACCCAAACTCCCTTTGTGGGCTGCTGTTCACTCACCACCCCAAATACCAGGTGGCATTTGAGGGAGTGTACATGTGGGACAGCAAGAGAGTAAAGTTCCTGAGGTTTTAGGTCTTGGTCCAGCCTCACTCTGTAGGTGTTGCCAGCTCAGGCTGGCTGAGAAGCAGGCAGGACTCATGGAAATGAGCATATCACAGTCCCAGGGCCCACCTCCTGGGGCTGCACTGTATTTCAACTTATTTTTTCATCAAGCAGTTATGAATACCTACTATGTGGCAGGTTGTCTGCTGGGCATTGTGCAAAGTTACAAAGCTGGAGATTGCTGCTCTCAAGCAGTTCACAGTCTGGTGCAGAAAAAAGTCCATTAATAGTTATAGTTAGGGAGGAATAGTTAGGGAGGAACACCTCCCCTGCCCCATCCATGCTTCCCGAGTGACAATAGAGCAACAACCGCCTCCAGTATTTTTCCTCCTTTGTGGCATTTTGGGAGGGTGGAATTGGGGAGGGTGGGGGAGTACAACTGGAATAACAGGAATAACCATTTAAAACTGGAATAACAATTTAAAGCAATTGCAGTGTGCCAGGTATAGAACTAGGCATTTTATATCTCATATCTCATTTAACTGGTATATTCAGAACGAAACAGTTTCTGACATGTAGATAGAAACAGATCTGGAATTGTCAGCAGTGTCCCTTCCTGATCAGATTGAGAGATCCAGTTTCACTCTACAAACACACATTAGTTAACAAAGGGCTGTTGCTACCTGATTGTGCCTTGAAGCTGACCTTGTCTGCTCAGGTGCCAAAGGAAACTCTCTCCGTTTTAGGAAGGCTGTAACAGCTGTCACTGAGGTGTCGCTGGTCAGAGCACAGTAAACATTAACCGATCTTTGCACCTTTGGTTTCCTCTAACTGGAAGGTTCTTCCCCTCCATCCTCCTGGCCAGCACCCCAACCTCCTCGACTTCCTGCAGGACCCCCTTCTCCAGCAAGTCTCCCTCAGCACTGTAGTTACATGGAGCACCCCTGCTCCCTGGCATTCTTGTCGTTGAACTTTTCTCTGTAGCAAAGATTGTCATCAAACAGAACGCATTTTACTTCTTTCTTCTTTGTCTCCTCCTTCCCCCCACAAAAGGTGAGCTCTACGAGGCCTGGGAGTCTTGCCATTTAGGTTTCCCTGCTGTATTCTCAGCACCCAGGACAGTACCTGGCCCAGAGCAGGTGATCAATAATATTTGTTGAATGAATCAATGACATGATGCTATTAGGAAAAAATGACTCTGTGTAGCCTAAGGGTGGAGTGAGACCTTTCCTACAATGGCAGGATCAGGGAATGTACCATTCATTGATTGATTCATTCATTCACTAGGTAACTTGTGCCTGGCACAGTGCTGCTAGGCTTTGGGGTAACAAATGTAATGAGACACGGTTTCTGCTTCTAGAGGACTCTGTCTGTTGAGGGAAATGGACCCCAACTAATATTAATGGTGATACTGATGGTGGCTTGCATTTAATGGAACATACTACAGGCCAGGTGCTGTTCTAAGCATGTTTATGCATTATTAACTCTTCTAATTCTTACAAAAAATGAGGTAGGTATGACTCTTATGCCCAGTTTGCAGCTGAGGAAACAGAGGTACAAAGAGGCCACGCATTCTGAGGTGTGAATGGGGTGTGTGAAAACAGCTTACATTGTAACTGGTCACTTGCTTAGAGTGGAGAGGGCCACGTGGGCAGCTCTGAGAGGCTTACGGATAATAATCACTCTCCTGCCCCCATCCCCATTGACCGGTTCTTATAGTTGCTGGACACTTCTACCTCCCTCACTTCAATCCTTGCTGCTCTAGACCTGGTCTCCCCTGAGCTCTCAGCGAATGCTCTCCTTCTGACCCTCATGACTCCCTGTTCTTATGCTCCTGAGTCTGCAGGCCCTTCCCGTGCTCTAAAGCAGGGAGGCTCAGCCCGGACGTCCCAATTCCCCACTCTGTGCTCTCAAAGCTGTGACTTCAGACACTCCACATTGGGTCCCGCTGTCCTCTGCAGGAGGGGAGAGACTGTGACCGGCCCAGATTCCACCACTGCTGACTCTGGGCGGGGTCCACGAAGGTCTGCCCTCACCAAAAGCGTCTTTTGGGAGCCTCCAAAAGAAGAGTTTAACACTGTCACCCCTCTCACCTTGTCTGTTCTCCCCATAGTCCCTTCTGAGTCTTGGGTGACCACACTTTGTACATCAAAACCCTAGGCGGTCACTTGTCTTCCTCACCTAATGATGTGTTACAGAAAACAAGCTTCCATTACTTGCAAAAGTGTGATGGGAACATGAATATTAATAACTCCCATGGGTTTCCTGCAAACACCCGTCACCACGGCTTAGAAACCTTGTTCTGGTCTGCTCAGTAGAACAAAAATAAAGGATTCATGAACCCAGCTTAGGCGGAGTACTTCCTGGGGCTTTGAACTGCAGTGCTCCTGCAGCACTGAGGTGGGGACTGTGCTCCCTTCACCTGGATTTTGGCAGGAAGGTGTTTGACTTTGGTCACGGACAAGACTTGGCAGCTGCATCAGGACCCAGTGGAGCTGCATCAGGGATTTCTTTTGATCGAGAAGAAAGTTCTCCATGGTGACAGCATCTTGGTGAGCAGGTGCATTAGATCTAAGCCAAGTCAAGTTGGAATGATGCTAGAATCCAGAGCTGGTCCAGCACCGATTCGTAGAACTTCAGGGCTCACCGATCATCATTTGGAGTACACTGAGGCCACAAGAGGCAGGAGAAAAGTCAGCAGCAGGGCCAAGGGTACAGAATCTGGAGATGACCGTTCCTTTGGAGAACCCTAAAGCAAGGATAATGTTGCCCTTGTTCTATAATCAGGGTTTCCACTAAAGTCTGCTGACACAGCTTTTTCAGAAAAAGTCCTTTTCTCCAGGGAATCTTCAAGTATATGCCACTTTATGTTCCCTGGGTCTCTAGATGCCTGTTCAGGATCTCATAGGGTTGAGTCAGGCTGTGGTAGAGCTCATAGGTTTCCCATCTCAGGCAATGCTGTTCTAGTAAGTAGTGCTCCCAGGATCTGAAGGGAATTCCTGGCTGAGCTGGAGATTGGATAGATTACAAGGAGACTGGGGTTGGGGAACGTAACGGCCCTGTTTCTTGGGTTCTGCTGCCCCAGGAACCCCATGTGATCTTTAGGGTTTGAGCCCTTGGTTTGATGGCTGTTCAAGAACGCTAAAGCCTGGGTCCCGTAGTTGAAAAGTACTGTTGAAATTTATTTTAATGTGTATTGTTTGTGCATTTTTTAAATTTGGGATTAAAAAATCATCCATATTTCTAGCTCACAAAAATAAAATTAAAATCTTTTGGATTTTCTAGAGAAAAATATCTTCTTAGGTAATTTCAATGTGATCAAGGTAGCATCTATTTTGCTGAACTTTAGGTCAATCATTAAATCTATGGTGTTAATGAAAATGCTCATTTTCTCGGGCAGCAGCATGCAGAATCTCTCTGCGGTACAATTAACAGTGGTGGAGAAATCTCTGCCAGTTCTTCTAGCTGTCAGATTTTCCTGTAGTTGGCATGCCAGTGTTTCATCGCAGAGCAGGCCATGCAGGTGAAAGTCATGGAATAGTCATAGCTTTCTTCCTAATATACTTCATTGCAGGAGGCCAATCCCCCACAGAGTTCTGACATAGGATGCGTTGATCACAGCGGCCTCTGCCCAGCAATGTTTACCCAGGAGGCAGCCTGGTATCATCACGGAAGGAGTGAAAGAGTTGAAGCTGGAAGATCTACAGAGTGAGTCCTGGCTCTAAAATTTGCTAGCTGTGTGATTCTGCCCATTCTGATCTTCAGTTTTCCCTTCCATAAAATGAAAATAAAAATAACAACTGCTCTTTCTACTTTATAAAATTATCCTGAGGATAATATGAAACCTTTTATGGGAAATAGTTTTAAAGACTGCATTGCTAAAGGGTTGTTGCTTTTGTTGGCTGTTGCATAGAAATAGAGTTAGTTAAACTTTTTTAAAGAATATCCAAAAGCATTCTTTGAACTATTGTAAAGTGATTGCCAGGCGTGTGCAATAAAAGCGTATAATATAGGAAGGCTACTTTTCCAGTCAAAAAGGAAAAAAAAGCTGACATGGTGATTATAACAGATAATGTTGGCTATCTATTCAACATCTGTTCTTACGTCACTCCTTTCTCCTTTGTATTGGGTTGGCCAAAAAGTTTGTGCTGGCCAACCCAATAAAAGAACCCTGATTTTGTTACGTATCTACCGTTATCATGACCACATGTTTCAAGGGCTTTAACCCAGAAGCAGGCCTAGATTGGTCTAAGCCAATGGTTCCTAAACTTTCATATGCATCAGAATCACCGGGACGGCTTGTTAAAACTCCAGTTGCTGGGCTCCCGCCCGAATTTAGTTGGTCTGGGTGGTGGCAGAGAATGTGTATCAGGTGATGCTGATACTTTGGTCTGAAGACCATATGCTTTGACAGCCACTGTCTGAGCCAATCCTGGTGGTCCCATCCTCCTTGCCAGTTACTGGTTAGATACAGATACATGAAGCAGCTCTGCCCAATGAGATGTGATAAGTGCTGGGGGCTTATGGGAAAGGGTTTCTCACTCTTCAATAGAGACACAGGGAAGAGGTGGCTCCTTTTCTACCTCTGGACAGTGTCTCTGGGTAGAGCCCCTGGGACTGCTGCAGGTATTCTGGTACTATGAAGGGAGCAACGCTGAAGACAAAGTAGACGCTCTGAGAATGACTAAGCAAAAATGATGTAAGGCACCTGGGTCCCTAATGATGTCCTTGGGTCACAAAATTAACTGTGGAGTTGCCTACCTTTTATTTGTTAAGCCATTTTGAGTTGGAGTTCTCTGTTACTTTCAGTCAAAGTTAACTTAGTGGATAAAGTGATAATGTTAAAATTTCTTTTCTGTCACGGGGACATGGGGGTAGGTTATGGGATAGGATCCCTGAGCCTTACTGGGGGCAATGGGAGATGGCTGGCATTAGAGATTGCACTCAGCCATGAACCGCGAACCTTCATCAAGGTCTAACTATCAGGAGAAGATTCGGGAAGGACCAATTTAGGAAGGGCTGGAGGTAGTGAGCAAATCAGGGTGTGAGTAAAGAGTTCCCAACCTGGGAGATGTGACCATATTAGAATAGGTTGGGAGCATGTGATGAGTGGAAAGGTATGCTGGGTGCCTTAAGAACGGCAAACTTTTGAGGATTTTGTGGTCTGATGTGTGGGAAGGTGAGCCCAGGATTGGAAAGAACAGCTGAGGAAAGGCAGGCTAAGGGAATTGGAACTGGAAGTAGAAAATAAACAAATGTCAAAGGGACTTGGGAGCTTGTGTGCTGATCGAGACATTGTGTCCCGAAACGATATTTATTTGATACTGTTTTGACACCAGTAAAGCTATTCTCAGTTAAAAGGCAATGTGGGTTCCTGAAGTGGCCTTTATCCGGTGGTTTGTATGCCATCGGGGGCAGGCAGTGATTTCACAATAATTACTAAGAACTCTCTTTTCCTCAGACTCTAGGACTGTTGCAACTGTGTTCTTCTAGCACCTGTGGGCCTGATCTGTGACCTTTTGGTGTTTGTCCCATTTCCTTCCTATTAGTCTCCCGAATGTCTTCAGTGGGCTGGTACCTACCAACCTTACCTGCAAACATTACCTGCTGTGGTTCTGCCCCTTCTCTCCTGCTCATTGCCAGGCCCAAGGGTCCCTGTTCTCAACATTGGTGATGCAGCAATGAAAAGGCAGATCCTTGATCTCAGGATGCTCAGTCTAGGGCAGCGCTGTCCAGCAGAAATACAATGCAAGCCACATACGTAGTTTTAAGTTCTCTAGTAACCACATTAAAAAAAGTAAAATGAAACAGTGTTATTAATTATAATAATATATTTTATTCATCCCAATGGTTCTCAACCAGGGGAGATTTTGCACCTGGGGGCATTTGACAATGTCTAACAATGTTACTTGGAAATGTCATTAGGCAATTTTTGGTTGTTATAACTGGGAGTGTGCTAGTGGTATTTAATGGGTGGAAGCCAGAGATGCAGCTAAACATCCTACAGTGCACAGGGGACAGCTTCCCACAACAAAAAACTATGTAGCCCCAAATGTCCATTGTACTGAGGTTGAAAAATCCTGATTTAACTCAGTATATCCTGAACATTTCATTTTAATATGTAATCAAATATAAAAAAATCATTAATTTGATATTTTACATTTTTTAAATTTCTAAATTTTAAAGGCTGGTGTGTATTTTACACTTGCAATACATCTCAATTCAGGCCAGCCATGTTTCAACCGCTCGATTGCCACGTGTAGCTAGCAGCTACAGCGCAGGCATAGGGAGTGTATATTCAGAGTCCAGGAAGCTCTCTGTGACCCCAATTTCCTGGACACAGCAAATATGGTGAGATGCAAAGTCCTGCTACCTTTGTGAGACCAACATGATAAGGAATTGGGATAAAAGGGTTGCACAGCGTCTCTCTGATCACTAAATTAGGTAAGAATGTAGATACATTCAAAACAACATCTATCCAGCCTCTTACATTATTTCCCTGCAAAATGTCATCAAGAGGTGGTAATTTCTTATTCCCTCAAGGCAAAAGTCACCATACACCATTGGGAAGATTACGGAGAGAGAGGTATCTTCAATGCAGCTCTGAGGATTTAGATATTGATCACTAAGGCTTTCATGTAGTTAAAACAAACAACCAAGCAACAACTTTTGCCTCTTCCAAAACACGCTGTAGTTTTTCCCTTTTGAAAAATGAGAAATAAAGGGTTTCAGGTTAAAAAGAAGGTGACCGTGCAGTAATCAGAGCTTTAGAACAATCCAAACTGACCTTGGTGCAACATGCTGTACTTTTTTTTTTTTTTTTGTGGTACGCAGGCCTCTCACTGCTGTGGCCTCTCCCGTTGCGGAGCACAGGCTCCGGACATGCAGGCTCAGCGACCATGGCTCACGGGCGCAGCCGCTCCGCGGCATGTGGGATCTTCCCAGACCGGGGCACGAACCCGTGTCTCCTGCATCGGCAGGCGGACTCTCAACCACTGCGCCACCAGGGAAGCCCAACATGCTGTACTTTGTAATCCCCAATTTGAAGGCTTTGCGGCATCTCATTAGTCTGGAGTTGCAGTACAGGTAACTCTGTATTGAGTGAGTAATTAAATGTGACACAGAAGCAGGTGCATGGATTAGTGACACACCCAGGGGTCTCTCTGAGGCAGCCTTTCCTGTCTCTGCCCATGAGGTAAGGTGTAGAGAGGGTTAGCAGAGCTCCTGCAAGAGGGATCCTGGTGCAAAGGCAGAGCAAGATTTCTTGCATTATCTGTGGGTCAGGGCAATGTGCCAGTAAGTGTGGGGATGTCCATTCTGGAAGCCAGGCCTCATCTATGATGTGACAAGGTCACCTCTGTAGTGCTGCTGATCCTTTCTGGGCTAATGCTGGGAATCCATCCTCAGCTTTCCTGAGCAAACTGCTCATTCTGTCTTTAGTAGTACAAGGGCCTGCAGTGTTACTTGAAGTCAGAGTGAAGAATGCTTCCCATTCTTCCAGAGCCCTCTGAAACCAGAGCGTATCTGACACAGTCAGGCTTTGTCTAAAATGAAGGAAGACAAAAAGAGCATTTCTGCATTTTTACAGTGTCAACATGACACTTATTTTCATAGAATTGAAGGTTAGGAGAGAGGCTCACGTAGTTTACTTTTCTGTTTCCAGAAAGGCTTTCATTCAGCTTTCCCACACACCTGAAAATCTACCCTATTTTTCAAAGTCTGCCAGGGAAGGAGTTTATAAAAATCTTTTTGGAAACAAATTCAGGTTCTCATCAGCCCTCAATGAACCTATATAGAGCACTTATCCTGTGCAAGGAATTATTTAGAAGCAAAGAGATTAAAGGAAAGAGAAGGCAGCTTCTCTTTTTAAGGAACTCATGAGAGAGACATAAAAAGACAGGGGGTAACAAGTGCCAAAGGAATGGCACAGCCATGAAGGCCTGTAGGAGTTGAGAAGAGGAAACTGACGCGGGGCTGGGTGAGAGGAAAGATCTCCTGGAATAGGTGAAATTCAAGCTGGTCTTCCGGGGTTGGAGAGCGGTGAAGGGCCTGGTGTGAGGAAATCCCATCTCATGCTCTCCTGTCCCCTGTCCTCTTTTTAAAGTTCACTCCCTGCAATGTTTCAGCAGCAATGCAAGGTACCACAGCTGCAAGACGAATCAGGCCTGCTCCCAGCCTCTAGGAACTCACAATGGACTAATGCAAATTTCCAGAAATTTGATCTTCCATAGAGATGTGACACTTGCTCACTCATTTAACAAATATTTACTGATCATGTGTTGTGTGCCTGGTCCTGTTCTTGATGCTAATGATACAGTGGGAAACAAGACAGATTCAAGCCTTGCTTTATAAAGTTCATGGTCTAGAGGTGTGGGAAACAACAAACAAATAATTACAAGTGTGATAAGAATTATAAAAAGGGGGCAACAGGTGCTATGGGAGTATGAAGATATTCATCTAATCTGGGAGAGAGGGCTTTCCTTGGGTAGTACTGTTTAAGCTGTAAGAGGGAAGAACAAATCTGACTCCATATTGGATGTTCCTTTTACTTTAACCTTTGTATTAATAAAGCATGAAATTACTTAAGTGTCATATTTATAATAAGTATCATCTTCTTCTTTGAAGTAATGAAAAAGACGATTTTCACATTTTCAAAATACTAATGATAATTCAACACATTAAATTACTACAAACACTCAAATGTATGTGATCACGGGCCAGTTCTTCTGGTGTGTTTATTTTTTATCTTTTACACCATCCTCTATTGCTTGCTACATGTTAAGAACTGTTGCCTGTAGCCTGAAATATACAGGATAGCCCATTCTCAAGGCTCTGACCTTTAAAGGTATAACACTTTCCAATTCATATAGAGAAAAAAAGTTGCAGAACAGAGAATAACATTTGTCTTTTCAGAGGTTGACAGGGGCATCATGACCTGACCTACGTGGACAGCTGTAGGAACAAAGGATTCTGACACTAAGAAGTTTACAACAACCAACCTCACCCCCTCCCCTTTTACTATAAAAGGAGCCTGAATTCTAACTTGGGGAAGATGGTTCTTTGGGAAACTAGTCCACCATCTTCTTGGTCTGCTGGCTTTCCAAATGAAGTCGCTATTCCTTGCCTCAATAGCTCGTCTCTTGATATATTGACCTGTCGTGCAGTGAGCAGTATGAGCTTGGACTCGGTAACAAAGCCAATAGGTGAGTGCCGAACTGAGTAAACCAGGTGAAGGGGGAGAGGAGAACAAGGAGAGAAGGATGTGCCTGTCAGAAGGAGAAGACTCCAAAATATCCAAAGTGGAGAGAATGTGGTGCTTTTGAGGAACAGAAAAATGTCCAAGATGGTGGCAGCAAGGACGGAGATGAAGTCCAAGAGTTAGGTCAGGCCCCTCCTGGGCTGGAACATGACCACATGTGTCCCTGGCACAATGGCCAAAACAAACACCCTGTCTTTTCTCCCAAGGACAGGTGTGGAGAGGAGGCTGCCACATTGCACAGTTGGTCAGAGAGCTGGTGAAGACCCTGTGCATCTTGTCTAGGAGGGTCTCTGCCCAGACCCCTGCACCTGTCGCCTCCCCTCTACCCTCACCAGCCTCTGGACTGAGGACTCATGTATTCCCTCCACCTCCAAGCTCTGCTCCACTGGTCCCTGGGTTACTCCTGACTGTGAAGGAGCTGCTGTGAGGCTGAGTTCTTGAGTGCCTGGTACCCAGTCTGCTCAATGAGTGTGTGTTTCTGCTGTGCTGGGAGGGATGTCTGGTATTCAGTTTTTTCTTCTGGTGGATTGGGCCCTGAACGCCTGAGAAGGCTCCAGGCAGCAGTCTCTAAATACCACTGAGTTAGTTCATAATTGGACTTCTGCCTCAGTTTCCCTGCTTAATATTCCAGTTACCTGCTGAGGCTGGAGTTCTGCCCAGAAACTCCAGTACCCGATGTTTACTGAGTGCCTGAGACAGTGTCAGGGTGCTGAGGATGGTGTAAAAGATAAAAAATAAACACACCAGAAGAACTGGCCCGTGATCACATACATTTGAGTGTTTGTAGTAATTTAATGTGTTGAATTATCATTAGTATTTTGAAAATGTGAAAATCGTCTTTTTCATTACTTCAAAGGAGAAGATGATGCTTATTATAAATATGACACTTAAGTAATTTCATGCTTTATTAAAAATTTTGATCTTGTAGGTGTCAGCAATTGCTTCTTTCTTTTTCCAGTTGACAGATAGCAGTTTGAATATTCATTACATTTTTATGTTACAAAATCCACATGAGATAAAAACTAGCACTGGTTCCAGAGATGGAACAGAGTCCAAAGTTCTTAATTTGACACTCAAAGCCTCTCACCATCCAGCTCCAACCTCCTGCCACTGCTCCTTTCCACGTTCTCCACCCTTAGGCTTTCTCCTCTATGTTTGTGCTCAAACTGTCCCCTTTGCCAGGAATGTCCTCCCCCTTCATCTTTATATGCCATCATCCTCGTCCATGAAGACCTCTTCTCTTCTGTTTCCATTGGCTTGCCCCTTTTCTCCTCTGGCTTTGAATTCTTCCTCTACCCCTGGTTCCTCATTTTCTATCTTCTTCTTTAGCATCTTTCACTTGGACCCCTGCTCAGACTCATGTTCTCATAAAACAGCTGTGTATAGCTAACATTGATTTTTGAGGTCTAGCCTAGAAAACTAATGAAAAAATGTCTTCCTGATTGTACAGTTAAAATAGTTTCTTTTTAAACTGGGGAAATATGGAAAGTATGAAGAGCACAAGGGTTTCCACCAGCTGTGGAGGAATGGTCAAGAGTGCAGGCAAGTTACTTAGCTTCTCTGAGCCTTAGTATTCTCATCTGTGAAATGGAAGTGATAAACCCTGTCTCACTGGCTTACTGTGAATATTGCATGACTGTTATGTGTAAAACGCCCAGGAGAGTTTCTGATGAGAAATAAGCACTACTCCTTACTTGGTAATTATTGTTATTATAACAACCATGGTAACATTTTCAAACTCTTATTTATACTGTTATTAAAAATACTTCATAAATTCCAGCCAGCAATCTTTCAGGCAAAATTCAGATCCGTTTTGTTTTCAAGCTGGAGGCTGCTTCTTCTCCCAGGGTAGAGAAGTGACCTGCCTTCTATCCCAGAAGCATTCACAGGTGTCACCAGGAAGTGGAACAAACATACTTGACTCTCTTGTCTATGCCTTCAGATCATGTGAAGCAACTGAACAGTCACTTGGGTGTGAAACCAACAGAAGGTGCAGGTTCAGTCACTTGACTCAGTAACAGGTGCTGTTTATAGCACCCAAGTTCTTTCCTGGAATCTTTTCATGTTTGTGACATGCACCATGTGTTAAGAGTGCACGCATGCCATGTTTAGTCACAATGCGACAACCAATGGCAGGCACGACCTTTCGTTTAGACAACCAGGTGGAGCCCTCTGGGTCGAGTGTGGGCTCCTCCTTAGCTCACCCAACCTTCCTCCCTGCACCACTAAGGCCGTCAGGATGACTGGCTCACATCCTGTTAGGAAGAATTACCACAATCACTAATGGGTAGTTAGGGACAGCGTTCCAGTTTAAAGGCTTCCATGGGCTGTGAAAACTAGAGAGTAAATAATCGTTTATTAGCCAGTCACTTAGAGGATGCCACATGGAATGACGTTCCAGCACTTCAAAACGCACAGAAGCCGTATATCATAATGGACCATAAAAGTTACGTGCAAACAGGCTGTAAAACTGAACAACTGTTTACCTCGGTGAAGGTTTTATTTACATGCCCTCTGGCAGACACTTAAATGTACTTCATATGGGGCTGCCAATCACAGCTTCAAGCAGAGCCTGCATTAAGTGGAGATGCATTGGGTAGACACCAATTGCAATGTGATATCAGGGGCCTGGGGACGGTCTCTCAGGCTCCCTCCAAAACGCGTTTTGCCTGCTTGATGCTTAAAATTTCTTGAAATCAAAGCTCTATTTCTACAATTACAGAAAATTCAATTTGACAAGTTCAACATTGGATTCAACATAAAGTATCATGGAATGCACAAATAGCCAACATTTATAGTGCTATGTTCTTTACCGAGCACTTCCACACGTGGAATCTTCTTTGTCCTCCAACACTCCAGTAAGATGAATCATTTCCTCCGATTATGAGGAAGGACCTATGACTTGGAGAAGTTCAGTGACTTGTCCAAGGGCACATGTGGGTCATGGCAGAGGCTGGACTGGAATCTGGTGCTTCTGAGGATGACTCCTTAGTGCACTTTCAATGAGAGCAGGCTCTTTCATTAAACACCCTATAGAGGAAGTTCTTGACCTAAATTCATACCATCCTGAGAGCCAGTTTTGAAAGGTGGAGATGCGGATGAGAGAGTTGGGTCAGCAGTCTTCCTGGGCCCTGCTCAGCTGGGGTAGGCCCAGAGATCTCCTTCTCCAGGGATGTTCCTGCCCAAGCTGACTGGTGAGTGTGCACACACTTCCTTTAAGCTTTGCCGAGTTGATCCCATTCCACACTTGTGTTCCCTGCTGGGATTGGAGCCCTGTTCTGATCCCCAGTCTCCTTGGCTAAAGTTCTAGAAACTTGCTACTTCCTTGCTGGTTCTCTGTCCCAGGAGGCTATTCTCTGTCCCTTTTGCTTCTACCCTCAGCTGGTTTCTTTTCCTTTTTAAAAAATTTGTATTGGAGTATAGTTGATTGATAATGTGTTAGTTTCAGGTGTACAGCAAAGTGATTGAGTTATACATATACATATACCCACACTCTTTAAGATTCTTTTCCCATATAGGTCATTACAGAGTATTGAGTAGAGTTCCCTATGCTAAACGGTAGGTCATTATTAGTTATCTATCTTATATATAGTAGCATGTATATGTCAACCCCAATCTCCCAATTTATCCCTCCCCTCTTTCCCCACTGGTAACCATAAGTTTGTTTTCTACATCTGTAACTCCACTTCTGTTTTGTAAATAAGTTCATTTGTACCATTTTTTTAGATTCTACATTTAAGCGATATCATATGGTATTTGTCTTTCTCTGTCTGACTTACTTCACTCAGTATGACAATCTGTAGGTCCATCCATGTTGCTGCAAAAGGCATTATTTCATTCATTTTATGGCTGAGTAATATTCCACTGTATATATATATGTACCACATCTCCTTTATCCATCCCTCTGTCGATGGACATTTAGGTTGCTTCCATGTCCTGGCTATTGTAAATAGTACTGCAATGAACACTGGGGTGCATGTATCTTTTTGATTTACGGTTTTCTCCAGTCATATACCCAGGAGTGGGATTGCTGGATCATATGGTTCAGCTGGGGTTTCGTTCCTCTGCACAGACCTGCCAGAATTGCATGCTGATTGTTGGGGTTTTTTTCTCTATTGCAGGAACTGCCAGTTGTTCATTATTCCTTCATTCATTGAAGACATTTTTATAGAGCACCTATAACAGACAGGAAGACACAGTCCAGAGTCAATTCCCCTCGGCTCTCAAGGTAACCCTAATGAAACGTGAGTTTGCCGCGTACCTTTAGAGACTATGTAAGTGCTACTGTTAACTAGCTCACCAGATGCCTTAAAGCTGGGTTGTTTTTTTTTTCTAAATCTCTGAACATCCACTGTCAACCACAAGAACTGATGGCTTAATATGGGCACTGAGGAGGCTGGAGGTGAGGCTGGGTCATGGTTGGGGTCAGAACATGGGAAATGGGTTCTAGGAGAGCTTTAAGACAGCATGGGAATTTCTTAATATCAATAAGGCCTGGCTGGCCCTGGCTCCAGGTGAGTCTGGGAGCCAGTGGCTCTGCTGAGTGACAGCCAATGAGCCACACTGGGGTAATTTATAGAAAAGGGTGACAAGGAATGACCTTCAGCATCTTTGTTTAATAACATTACCTTCACAAGCTGCAATCCTTTAGTTTCACAGATACCAGTGGCAAGACTTGAATGAATTTTACCTGAATTTCTGCTTTATTTATTTCCCTGCTAACTTCATTTCTAAAATCACCTTTGCTGAATGACAACTCAATCAATTCAATAACATGCAATTTTACACAGTAGGAACCTATTCCCAGATCCCCCTTCATACTTGTAATTGTCGGCTACTTCCTTGAATAGCCTGTGTGTTTCAAAGCCAAGTTATTTTCATCTCCAGACCCCCGAGGTGGAATGACACTGTGAGATGGACACAGTCCTGACCCGAGGCTGAAGATGCTCTCCTCTTCCCATTCTTTATTCACATGCATCTCTCGTTCATCACAGCCTGAGCTGCCAGCTCATGTTCAATTTCCCATCAGATCAGTTGTGTTAAGGAATCATCGGCTTGATCGGCTTCATTTTAGAAGCTTTCTGAGATGCTGGGATTTTTTACTTTGTTTCACATGCTTTTGGAATCTTGCCAAAGTAAATGAAGGTAAAATGAACATGTATATTTTGGCTTTATTTTCCAGGACCAGGTAAAGTGATGGACAGGATTGTATTACTGGAGGAATTAAGGAGGAGGTGGGCTGCACACATATTCTGTCGATCCACAGAATCTGTGGGTAATGAACTGGGAAAAACAAATCTGCTGATTGAAAATTTGAATCATTAATAGCTTTGAAATCTACAGCTTCTTTTAGATTTCAATCTTCTGTGATTTGCTTGGAGTCCGTGCTGCAGTGGTCTGAGCCACAGGTCAAATTGTCAGTCACAATGAGCAGGGTTTGCTCATGGCCTCTGTTGTTTCAGAGATTATATTAAACGCTTAAAAAAGCTGCAGTAACACTTCCAGGGCTCTGGAGTAGTCATCACGGTATAGTACTCCCTGGACTTTCATTGATTTAGAATTTGCATCTTCCATTATTTGCAAATGACCCTCCAGGTTCTAAATATATTATAATTTGTATTCTTGTTGAAACATGAATTAGAATTGCCCTAGCTGGGTGGGATGCTGGGGCATAGCCGTGGATTACATTGCTGGTCTAACACTCTGCCCTCTGCCACTCAAAGAAAAAATGTTTTTCACTCATTGTATATACATGTTATGAGGAAAATGATGTGATATAGTGGTTCTTTGTGAATTGGGGGGATTCACAAAGGTATTGTAAAGAATTACTCATGAGTGTCAGGCCGTACTGTCGGTATATCTTATTGTCTTATTGTAATGAAACCGAGTATGGCAATGCTTTTCTCATCTGTGGATGACTTATCTGGACATTAAGAAATAATTTATTTTGTAATGAATAAGTAAAGAAAAAGCGCTGCTGAGAAGACAATATAGATGTTCCCACATCTATCCACACTAAAACTCATACTCTTAGCTCAAAGGTGATCTCCTCAAGCCCTCATCCAGAACTACCCTCTGCCCTTTTTGATTTAGATTCGACCTCAGGTGCAAAGAGTTGAAGTTGTCATCCTAAGATGCTCATGGCATCTACCTGCTCATTGTGGCTCACAATGAGCCACAATGAGTTTATTTTAGTATTTTCTGCTTTCATGCCCATCTCTATGCCTGTTATCTCCTTCATATCTAGTAAATATGCAACATGCATACTCATGTGTTTAGGATATGTTACCGAAATGTATGACATTTAAATTTATATGATGGTATTTCGGTATATGTCTTTTTTTTTCTTTTTTACTGTTTCCACTCAGCATAATTTTTCAGGATTTATCCATGTTGGTGAATGTGCATGTGGTTAATTCTTCCACTGCATTGTCTTCCAGAGCGTATGTCCACCATGGTTTGCTTACAGTCCCAGTTACAGACGCCACTGTTGGCTCAATGCATTGCTGCCACATACAATGCTATGAAGTCCATCTTTTTCTGTGCCCCTGTATGGTCCTGGGTGAGTGTTCCTGGGGTGATAGCCCTAGAGTCAGATTATAGGTTATAGGGTAATTGTACATTTCATCTCACATATTACTGCCAACTTACTCCCCAGATGACTGTTCCATTTTCCTTTTCTGTAGGAGTGAACTAGGCTTCCTATATCCCCACATTCTCATCCATGTAAATTAGCATATTTCTGGGTATTAATGGTGTAGAACATCTCTTCATATATTTATTAGTCATTTGGATTTCCCCTTCTGGGAACTGTCTAGTCATGCCCTTGTCCATTTTACTATTGGGTTTCTTGTCTTTCTCATTAATTTGTTGGAATTCCATGTATATTTTAGACATTAATTTTTGTCAGTTTTAGTTGATGCAATTTTCTTCTGATACCTTTTGTTGAAGAGAAATTATTTTTTATATGACAAATCTTTTATTTTGGAAGAATTTGAGATTACAGAAAAGTTGTAAAGATACTACAGACTGTTTCCATATCACCTTCTCCCCAATGTTAACATCTTACATAATTTGGCACATGTGTCAAAACCAAAAAATTAACGTTGGCTTAATAATATTAACTAAATCACAGGTTTATTCAGATTTCACCATTTTTTCCCACTGATGCCCTTTTACTGTTCCAGGATCCTGCATTGCATTTAGTTGCCATGTCCTTAGTCTCTTTTGATCCATGCTAGTTTCTTAGTCTTTCCTTGTTTTTCATGACCTTCTCAGTATTGAGAAGTATTTTGTAGAATGTCTCTCAATTTGGGTTTGACTGCTGTATTCTTATGATTAGACTGCACTTTATACATTTTTTGTAAGAAGACCACAGAGGTAAAATATGTTTCCTATCATATCAAGTCAAGGGATACATAATATCAACATGACTTATCACTGGTGATGTTAACTTAATCTTAAATACTTGGTTAAGGTGATATCAGGCACTTTTCTCCACTGTCAAGTTAAATTATTTTCCTCTCCATACTCTATTCTTGGAAATGAGTCACTAGGTTCAGCCCACAGGGGAGAGGAATCACACTTCACCTTCTGGACAAGGGAGTATCTACATATACTATTTAGAATTCTATAAGGAAGAATAAATCCTTAATTTTAATGTTATCAAAATTGCCAAATTTTCACCATATGGCTTGTGCTTTTGAGGTCTTGTCTCCTATCCCAAAGGCCACAAAGATATTCTTTTATACTTTCTTCACACACACACACACACACACACATACACACATACACCAATATAATATTCATCTTTAATCTTTAGGTTTTTAATCCATCCAGATTTTACCTTTACATAAGGTGTGAAGTAGGGTCTAAATTAAAATTTTATCCTTATTTTTTTTTTTAAACTTCCTTTCTTGAACTGATCCTTCCCCCACTGATTTATTATGTCAGCTGGCCATATATCCAATCTCCAACTGGGAACTCTTTCTGGGCTCTACTTTGTTCCATTGGTCTATTAGTCTGTTATTGTGCCAGTACATAATAGAGTTATACTATGGCATTATAGTATGCATTCATATTCTGGTAGGGTAAGTGTTGTGGGTTGAATGGTGGCCTCCACAAAGATTTGTCCACATCCAAATCCCTAGAACCTGTGAATGTCACTTTATTTGGAAAAACAAAGTCATTACATATGTCATTAAATTAAGGTATTTGAAATGAAATTAGCCTGATTACCTGGCTAGGTCCTAAATCTAATGGCAAGAGAGAGAAGAAGGAAAGACATAGACATACAGAAAAGAATGTTGATGTGAAGGCAAAGAAAGATTGCACTGATACAGCTATAGGTCAAGAAAGCCAAGGACTGCCAGCAACCAACAGAAGCTAGAAGAGGCAAGGAACATATTCTACCTTAGAGTTCCCAGAGAGAATGTGGCTCTGACAACACATTGATTTTGGATTTCCAGCTTCCAAAACTGACAGAGAATATATTTCTGTTGTTTTAGGCCATCCAGTTTGTGCTATTTTGTTACTGCAGTCCTAGGAAACTAATGCAGTAACTGCTTCTGTTCCTTATTTTTTAAAATTGTCTTTTATTCATGGACATTTATTCTTCCATCCTCATTTTAGACAGTTTGATGAGATGTTAAAAAATCCTACTGAAAATTTTTTTGGTAATATCATTAAATTTATAAATTAATTTGGGGAGAGAATTTACATCTTTACAGTGTTAAATAATCTCATCCATGAGCATTGGGTTTTTCTCCATTAATCAGAACTTATATGATTTAGTGGGCTTTAAGATTTTCTCTGTAAAATTCTTGTGTATTCTTTGTTATTTTCAAACCATGACAGTTTTGCTCTTCCCTTGCAATCGTCATGTCTTATTGCATTGGCCAAGACATTGAGGGCTATATAAAGCAGTTGCAGTAATAGTGAGCATCTTTGTCTTATTCTGGTGTAAGAGGGGATGCATTTAAAATGCACTGACTACATGTGAGGTTTCCTGGGGGTCTTTTATTTATTTATTTACTTTTGGCTGTGTTGGGTCTTTGTTGCTGTGTGCGTGCTTTCTCTAGTTGCAGTGAGTGGGGGTTACTCTTCGTTGCAGTACGTGGGCGTCTCATTGTGGTGGCTTCTCTTGTTGCAGAGCATGGGCTCTAGGCCTGCGGGCTTGGGCTTCAGTAGTTGTGATGCATGGGCTCAGTAGTTGTGGCTCACAGGCTCTAGAGTGCAGGCTCAGTAGGTGTGGCGCCTGGGCTTAGCTGCTCCAAGGCATGTGGAGTCTTCCTGGACCAGGGCTCGAACCCACGTCCCCTGCATTGGCAGACGGACTCCCAACCACTGCACCACCAGGGAAGTCCCTCCCGTGGGTCTTTTAGTAGATCTTCTTCCTCCTTTATCAACTTAAGAAATTTCTTTTTCTATTCCTGATTCAAGGGGATGGGAAAATAGACTGCACATCTTGATAGGAGTAGAGGCAAAGTTACATTGCAAAAGCCATGGACATAGTAATGAGTGGAAAATTGTCACCATTTTTGTCCAGTGTGACTATTGTGATGATCTATCCACTACACTTCCACTGGATAAGTTATAAGCTGTATTTAGCATAGTAAATTTCTGGTTGGAAGACAGGTGGGGAGTCGGGGACTACTTAGTCATGAGAAAAATATCCATGACTTAGAGATGGGTGTGGTGAAATGAAACTTTTAATTTTTTTAAATTGCAACAGGGGCAACATGGGGCAGACTACTGAAAACTACAGTAATGCTTTTTTGTTGTTGTTGTTGTTGTTGTTGTTGTCTGCGAGATTCTCACTGTTGTGGCCTCTCCTGTTGCGGAGCAGAGGCTCCGGACGCGCAGGCTCAGCGGCCATGGCTTACGGGCCCAGCCGCTCCGCGGTATGTGGGATCTTCCCGGACTGGGGCACGAACCTGTGTCCGTGCATTGGCAGGTGGACTCTCAACCACTGTGCCACCAGGGAAGCCCTACAGTAATGCTTTGTGAAGATTTTTTTCAAAGAGTAAATTCCCAATAGGTACAACCATCAACTTGAGCACCAATTCATCAGCAAATATTTACTAAGTCATTACCATAGGCCAAGCACTGTCATAGTGGCTGGAGGAGTACAAAGAATAAAACAGTTTGCCCTCAAAACACTTTCAGTTTATTAGGAAGATATAGCAGTCCCCCAAAGAGGGCCAATAATACAAGGTAAAATGTAAGAGACATCAAAAGAGAGGTCCAAAGAGATGGCAATAAAGCATTCAGCTCTTTAAAGAAATTAAAAAAACAGGAATATATCTTCAATAATATAATAAAAACCAGTGGAGAGGGAGATTCACTTTTCATAACTAGGCCACCAGAGTATTTAAATTCCAAAAGCAAGGGATGTTTATATTAAGATTTCTTCACAAATGACACCCTACTACATGAATTTTCTAGAGGTTTGAAAGAATTATTGTGACTTTGAAAATAGCTTCCCACAATCTGACTCTGTGAATTAAATGGAAGAGACATGAACAGGTTTCCACATCTGTATTGGAGTCTCTCCACTTACAAATCACTAATAACAAAACTAGCTCAAAGCATGTGTTGACATGAGAATTAGCTAGTAGAAACCATTGCAAAGCCCTGTGGAAATCTTAAGTGCTGTGGAACTAGGTCAATATGGACGTTGGCTTGCCTCCAGTTGCTCCTGAAAGAGAGAAGGAGTTTGATGACAATTGAGTGACCATTTAACCGGCTATTCAGGTGACTGGAGGGATGCCTGGTGATACACAGAAGAAGAAAATTTACAGAAGACAAAAGTAGGAGCAGCAAAAGAGATCAGGGACCATGCTTCTCATCTGGGGCACTGCAGGCATTTTGAACAGGACAAGTCTTTGTTGTACAGGACTTCTGGTGTGTTGAGGATATTTGGCATCTCCTCTGGTTGAACATCACAGAGACAGAGAGCTAGGAACCCTTAGGAAATGATATTGCCAGGGGGTTTAGAGGGAGCAGAGTTTGAAGATGGAATTAATGAAGAAATGGAAAGATTTAATAAGAATGGCAGCAATATTTTAGTATTTGAGTGGATTTCAGTCAAGTTAATCCATTTTGCACAGGGCTTCCAGACTATTCTTTCTTTTTCTTCTTCTTTTTTTTGGGCCGTGCCATGCAGCTTGTGGGAATCTCAAATCCCTGACCAGGATTGAACCCAGGGCCATGGCAGTGAAAGCCCGAAATCGTAACCACTAGGCCACCAGGGAACTCCCCCAGACTATTCTTAAAAATTTGCTTTCACTCTGTATGACAGACTCTAGGTCCACCCACCTCACTACAAATTACTCAATTTCATTTCTTTTTATGGCGGAGTAACATTCCATTGTATATATGTGCCACATCTTCTTTATCCATTCATGTGAGTCAGAAAGAGAAAAACAAATACCATATGCTAACACATATATATGGAATCTAAAAAAAAATAAATGGTTCTTATGAACCTAGGGTTAAAACAGGAATAAAGACACAGATGTAGAGAATGGACTTGAGGACACAGGGAGGGGGAAGGGTAAGCTGGGATGAAGTAAGAGAGTAGCATTGACATATATACACTACCAAATGTAAAATAGATAGCTAGTGGGAAGCAGCTGCATAGCACAGGGAGATCAGCTCGGTGCTTTGTGACCACCTAGAGGTGTGGGATAAGGAGGCTGGAAGGGAGACACAAGAGGGAGGGGATATGAGGATATACGTATGCATATAGCTGATTCATTTTGTTATACAGCCGAAACTAACACAACACTGCAAAGCAGTTATACTCCAATAAAGATGTTAAAAAAAATGTGCTTTCCTTGCATCATGGCTCTACTCTGAAGCCTTCAATGACTCCCTATGGCTTATAAATGTAGACCACATTCCTAGGCTTGACATTTGCCTTCCCTTCAAAACTCAATTCCAACCCCCATCTTCCATTTTCTTACGTGGACTTTTCCAGTTCTAGTTAATAGAGCCTAACAAAAGAAACTTGAATGATCCAGAATGATCAAGATGGGAAATGAATTAATGTTGAAGTCTTTTGTGGCTGAAGATTTTAATGAAGGGTTTCCAGTGGGGTTGACACCAAGGCTTATTCTTGTTGCTCTGATGTTGGTATTTGTTAACAATAGCATCCTCAGGAGTTATCTTTCCCTTTGCAGTTTCCTAACTTAAAATCACCTCTCCAGTGTTGTTCTGATCACAGTCCTTCTATCAGAACCACAGACATTTGTCCTGTACCTGTGTCTTTACTTCTGTATGTTTCCCTACCTCTTCCATCTGGTCTTCTTTGTGCGGGCTGTCATTTCCAGGGGACTGAACCTCAGTAGCAGATGCTTCAATTAGATACAAGATCTATTGCTACCTGAAAAAATTGTCCATTTGAGGCTTCAGGATCAGAAATGAAGTGTTTTCTTTGTAATCTAGCTGGTATGATTAAACTTCTCTTTAGCATTAAGATATCTGTAATATTGCACAGAAAAAGTATTGTATGAATCCAAATACTCTTAGGATTTCTAACTCATAAATTGAAACTTGACATTTCATTTATGATAGAAATCTGGGACTCATTCATCTCTGTCTCCTCTCCCTTCTCTTCCTAACCAGTCCCATATCCTGATGACCTAACCTCCTAAATAGTTTGGAAATGAAATTGAAACTCCTTTCAATCCTACTGACAGGTCCTTAGTTCAGATTCTTACCATCTCTCACTTGGCTTATTATAAATAATCACTAAATGGTCTCTGCTTCTAGACACCTCCTTCCCCCACCCCGCCCTGCGGAAAACCCTCTCACTTCTACCCAAATTCAACTTTTACCATGTTACTGCCCTGCTAGAACCTTTCAATATTTCCTCTTTTGTTCCAGGATAGTATTTAAAAGACTTTAGTCCTTTCATGGTCTAGTACCTGCTCACCTTCCCTGTCTCATTTCCTACCCCTCCTCCTTACCCTGTGCCCTCTAGTGGTGCCAATGACCATAGTTACAAAAATCATACTGCATTTTTTCATGCCTATATGCTTTTTTTTAAAAAAAATGCTGTTCTTTTGTTAATGACTACTCATCCTTCATGATGCATCTTTGGGGACTTCCCTGGTGGTCCAGTGGTTAAGACTCTGCGCTTCCACTTCAGGGGGCTTGGGTTCAATCCCTGGTTGGGGAACTAAGATCTCGCATGCTGCATGGTGTGGCAAAAAAAAAAAAGGCATCTCTGGAGTCACCCTCTCCTGGCAGCCTTTCCTGATCTACCTGTCTGTGCTGCATGCCTCTTCTGTGTTCTCTGTAAGCTGCCTGTGCAATTCTCTCTCTTAGCACATATCACACTGCATTGAAGTGATCTGTCCAGATGCCTGTCTTCCTCTCTTGACTGGAGCTTGGAACCTAAAGTCTGTCTCTGATTCATCCCTACATCTGCAGCCCCCAGCACATTGTGGCATAAAACTGATGTTCAGTAAATGTTTTCTGAAAGGTTGAATTCAAATTTGTAAACTTTCTGAGTAAGGCCGAAGAAAAGTGTGAAGTTGAGAAACATCTGGGAAGTTGAGGTGATACTGACTATTCAGACATTTTAGGCCAAAAGACACCAATTTTTATGATCTCTCAACAAAGGATTAGACCAGATGATTCCATTTGACCTCTGACATCTCCCCTGCTAACCTGGTAGAATTAAAGGCAGGCCGCTGAGTGAAACAGATCTAGGATACCGCTGAGGGCTGACTTAGCTTTGTCAGAAGAGGGTGGAGAGCAGTGCTTGTTATTGAAGGCTCCAGGGAATCAGTATTCTCTTGCCTTGGGGGTAGGTACTGCTGAGGGCTCTGTGTGTGTGTGTGTGTGTGTGTGTGTATGTGTGTACCACACGTGGGCACATGGTGGTCATTACAACAAGCAGGATGTTTTGAAGAAGCCCCAGGGCGAACAGGGAGCCTTCTCAATCAGCCTGACTGTAAGGCACTTGAGACCTTGATGATGGAGGACTTTATTATTTCTAACAGCTAATATTTTATCGATCACCCACTGTGTGCCAGGCAATATTCGAAGTGCTTTATGTGCATTAACTCATTTAATCTTCCCAACAAGCCCAGGAAGCAGGTACTCTCATTGTCTTCATTATAGAGACGAGGAAACCAAGGCTCACAGAATTGACGTGATATGTTCGAGATCAATCAGCTAAGAAATGTCAAGGGCAGGAGCAATCCCAGGCAGCATGACTCAGGAGCCCAGGTCCAGGCTAACCTGCCTCAACTATTTTATCCTGCCCTTCATGTGCTGTCGTGGGCCAGAGCCAGTACTGCTCACTTCTGGGAGACCAGGTCTGCAGATGGTTGCTAGGAATGACAAGGGGGTATTGATCTTTGAGGAGATGCAGGGAGCCCCACCTGGTGGGCTTTTGGGGACCAGGGCAGCTGAGCTGCAGCCTGCGGGGAAGTCTCAACAGGAGCATATGCAGAGCTGTGATCTGTGGAGGAAGAGCTGTAATCACTGGCCAGATGATAGCCTCCCACTGCACCCTCTAGTCCTGGTCAGAAGTCTGCAGGGGGCTGGTAGAGTGAACCCACCCTGTGAGCACCCTTGCAGTGGAACCTGCTAGGGCTGGAGATGGTAGTGGAGTAATTCATCCATAATTGGGGGGCTAAGTGCCAAGATCTGGGCTGGGAATCTACATACATTGACCCTAATTCTCAAACTGACCTTGCAAGGTGGATAAAACAGCCTCAGGAAGGTTAAATGATGTACCCAAGTTGCAGCATTAGTCTCTGAGCTGAGATTTCAATCCAGTTCTACTTGATTCCAAAGCCCATCTTTTTGACCCATATTCACTGCCTTTCTTATATAATGCCTGCATTCTTTTCTTTCATTCTTTTTTTCTATTCTTTTCTTTTCCTCTTCCTTTCTTTCTTTCTTCCTTCCTTCTTTTTTTTCTCTCTTTCTTTCCTTCCTTCCTTCTTTCTTTCTCTCCCCCCCACCCCCAACTCTCTTTCATTCCAGAACTTCCTCCTGGATCATGGAAGGAGAGTTGTGGCCTGTCTATGCAGTTGGAATATTTTCCCTGGATCTGGGGCAGTATCAGAACTGGGAGTCTCGTGACATGCCCCATAAAAAGCACTGTCAAATTCTTTTTTAATCCCTACGTGTCTACAGTCAGAATTCACCTCAGTTTTTGTCTTTGTCCTTTTTTGACTTTTTCACATGCCTGGGAAGTCAGTGTATGAGCAAAAGCTGAGCGTGCAGAGCCCAGCACTCCCTGTGAGGCTAGATTCATGGGGCAGCAGTGGGATGCACAGCCAACTGGCTGGGGGCTGTTAGGCTCGACTGCATGGAATACTGAAGGCAAAGGGCACTCATAGCATATTGTTGAGTTGGAGAGTGATAAAATCAATATTCTATGTGGATTATTCTGGAGTCAGGTGCATGGTGTGTTGGGTGGGGGAGAGGCTGAGAGATAGGAGGTCCTGTAGGAATGGAGACGGTGGGATATGGGGCTGAAATTAGACAATGGAGTGGGAATGGGAAGTCAGGGACAGATGGGGGAGGCATTACGATGCTGCAAAGAAGGAGTAACAGCACTTGCTTGATTGTGGGGAGTGGTAGTGCCATGAGATGAGAATAGTAAAGCATCCTAACAGAACTGGGGAAATCAGAAATGGGAGCTCATTTGGGAGAAAAAGATTAATTTTAAACAGTTTTAGCATTTTGGAGTTTTAAGAGTATTTTGAAAAGGCTCTGGTTGGAAATGCTTCCATTGCAGAGACCATCCTTGCCTTTCAGAGCCACTGTAATTTGGGAAATATGAATCTTTTACCCATCTCTTCAGGACTCCTGAAGACAGAGGTAAGACTTCTGCTTCTAGTGATCATGGCTGGATGAAGCCAGCCTCAGGATAATAAACCAGGTAATTATCTCCATCCTTCCTATGACAGTAATGGTGTTGAGGCAGGCAAAAATTCATCAGAGGCGGCTTTGCAAGCCCCAGGGCCTGATTGTCAGAATCCGTCTCTGCAGCATTACACCAGGGTGGTGTAATGATGGCCGAGGGCCACATTATGCCTCCAGAGTAAAGAATTGTGGAGATGAAAAGGACAAAGACACCTACCATCCTAGCATGGTACCAAGTCTGAGTGGATGGTCTGGATCAGTAATTAGAAACACAGCACAATAAATATTGAAAGAAACTTCTGTAAACATTCTAGAGGACAATGAAATTAGAAATAACAAGCAGATGGGCTTTTATTCAAGGCAAATCATGCCAGATGGACGCAGTACCTTTTTTTTTTTTTATGGATAAAAGTACAAAGTTGGTGGATCAAGGGAAAATGGCATGTTTGATGTCATTTGTTTGAAGATGGTTAAAGCATTTGAGTCTTCCAAGAAGTCTGATTTGCAGAATTGGTTCAGAATGCCTGGAATAGAAGCACATACCTAACAAAAAAGTTGGATAAATGCTGCTAATTGGGCAATAGAAAGTACTGGAACACTGGGCTGGCAGGACTGCCTCAGGAGGGGTCTTCCAAGGGACCATTGAACTTTGGAGACTGAAGCGACCTTAAAGATTCTCAGTTCCAACCCTCTCATTTAAGGTTAAGGAAACTCAATCAAAAGGAGACCATGACTTCACAAAACGAGGGCTAGAACAAGGGTTACTTGACAATTAGTTCTGCAGTGTGAGTGCCAGGTCTCCTCTCTACCCAGCATCTCTCTTATCTAGGAAAGGCAATAAATGTGTTCAAATACAAATTCTGAAAGGATTCTAAATACAGAGATGAAATAATGGGACCGTGAGCAAACAAAGCCTGAGATATAGATCATGTCCCCTGAAGAGGGTGGGGCCTCAGATAAAGTGGAGATGGTGGTTGAGAGAAAACTGGGAAGCTTCATGCCAGGCCATGCTCCCAAGGTCCCTGCATGGTGTTCAAGCCACTTTCAGTGATATTAACTCGTCATTGCTAGGAAGCAAATATTACCCATTTTGCAGGTGAGAAAATGACAGAACTCTAGGAGGTTTGGTGACTTTTCCAACTGAGGTCCAACAGCAAGCATGGAATCGAGCTAGGATGAAAGCTCATGTCCTCTGATTCTGGTCAGGCTCTTTCTCACCCACATGTTGCCTTTGGTAAAATTCTGATGGAGGCCCACACCTGCCTGCCCTATTATCTCTCCAGAAAACTCCCTTCTTCCTCTTCTGGGCCCTTTCTCAACTCATCTTCCTGCCCTTATACAGCTCCCCAGATGCCTGGCCTTCCTGACTTCACTGCATTCTCCCCATTCTTCATCAAAACATATCAGTCTCCTTTCCCATTTCTGCTGAGCTTTGCGCTAAGCCTTCTGTCACCCTAAAAACTAATTTCCCCCATTGCCTTTACAGGTGGTGGTTTCACCCCCCTGAGCATGCTTCCTCATTTAAAAAATAAAACACAGCAATGACGCCTAGAATATTGTGACCTACAGGGATGGAGCACCATCGAGCCAATGCCTAAGAAGAAGTAGACACTCTGTATTTATGAAGAGGATCGTGGGCTGGGAACTTTCCTCAAGACCCCTCTCAATAGTTCTTCCTTTCTTATGCAGAGTAATTCATTCCCCCCAAACCCATATCTGAGCACCCCGGCTCTAACCATTCAACAGAGGACCCTGTGGTTATCAGGATCAGTCTTTTGAGTGGGTGGCAGGTTGAATAGGGAGGGAATGTTAATAAGTAATTTTGTTCCTTTCACACATAATGTTTTCCCTGTCAGAGTGTGGAAGAGTTTTTGCAACAGGTAGATTTTTTTTTTCAAGAAGAGTCATTGCGATAAAGGAAAAAAAAAAAGGAAGCCTAGGGGCTTCCCTGGTGGTGCAGTGGTTGAGAATCTGCCTGCCAATGCAGGGGACACGGGTTTGAGCCCTGGTCTGGGAAGATCCCACATGCCGCGGAGCAACTAAGCCCGTGCACCACAACTACTGAGCCTGCACGTCTGGAGCCTGTGCTCCGCAACAAGAGAGGCCACGATAGTGAGAAGCCCACGCACCACAATGAAGAGTGGCCCCCGCTTGCCGCAACTAGAGAAAGCCCTCGCACAGAAACGAAGACCCAACACAGCCAAAAATAAATAAATTAATTAATTTTTTAAAAAATGGAAGCCTATCTGCATTTCCTTCTACTGCTAAAAAATAGCTCCTTGGCCTTCATTGGTCCAGACTTTCAGCTCTGGGTGACCCATGGAGCAACACGTTTAAATACAATTCTTGAACTTATTTTTTATCTTTTTGGTAAAAATGCTCAATGCATGCTTACTAGGAAGCACCCTATTTACCATCTGCTGTGAATTGAATATTTTTGTCTCCTCAATATCCATAGGTTGAAATCCTAACCCCCAAGGTAATGGTATTTGGAGGTGGGGCCTTAGGGGGGTGATTAGGTCATGAAGGTGGAGCCCTCATCAATGGGATTAATGCTCCTTTACAAGAGATCCCAGAGTGATCCCTCACCTCTCTGCCACATGGGGACACAGCCAAAAGACAGCCGTCTATGAACCAGAAAGTGGGCCCTCACCAGATACTGAATCTGTTGGCAACTTAATCTTGGACTGCCCAGCTTTCAGAACTGTGAGAAATAAATTTCTGTCGTTTACAAGCTGCCCAGTCTATGGTATTTTGTTATGGCAGCCTGAACGGACCTAAGCACCATCTGATGACTAAAGTATTATTTTTTCGTTAACTTATCTTGCATGTGGGGTGGCACAGCAGTAAAGAAATGTGCTTTTTCCCCCCTCTTCATGGAATGTGAGCTATTGGAAAGAGCTGGGTATTACCAGGCCTGTATTTTTTTCCCCACTTCTGCCACAAGGGAGCCTTGGGCATGTGTCTTAACCTGTCTGTGCTGCAGCCAGTCCTGGGTCTGTTGAATTCAGAACACTGTGACCTCCCTGAAGGTAGGAAATATAGCTTGTGTATTTTTATAGTGCTTGACATAACATGGACAAATTTAGTAAACATTTGGGAATCATACCTTTAAATGTTGCTGAAACACATCGTCACACACATCCACTAGCAAATATCACTCAATACAGTGCCAAATACATGCCTTTCATTACTTAATCTAATCATCACAATTCTGCAACATAGCTATTATCATATTTTGCAGATAAGAAACCTGAAGCATAGAGAGATTAAGTGATTAGCCTCTTTGCTAGTTGGTAGCAAAGTCAGGATTTGAACTCAGGTCCATCTACTTTTGTTCTACTAATCTGTATTCAGGACCTATGCTCCACATTTAATAACAATACAATTGCAAAGGGCTTTTGAGGTTTTAAATGTAACAGTCAAGACGCTTCTTTGCTCTAAGACACAGTAAGAAGAAGCCACAGATTTTGAAAAGGAAGATCCAATGGGCACTAATTGGCAAGGGGAAAAAATCTTGTCCTTGAATGTTTTTCTCCAGAACTATCCCTCTGGGGCCCCTCTCTCCCCCCGTACTCGACTTGATTTACCTTGGCTGGTGGGCCGTTTGCCTCACTCCTGGGTTCAGATGCTCCCTTTCTTCCACTCAGCTAGAGACTTCAGTGAAATTATTGAGCCCTTTTACGTGCCACACATTGTATTGGCCCTGAGTATACCCTGTGAACAAGATGTGGCTTTTCTGTTTCTTCTAGGAGCTTACAGTATAGCTAGGGTGATGGAGAAGTAAACAGGCAGTTTCTATGAGGAGGTAATTATAGGGAGCTGCACAAGTACACGGGGTCACATAACTTAGCCTTGGGAGCTGGGGAACGCAGGCTGCAGGAAGTGGCCTCTGTGTAAGGACCACAGGATGAGTAGTAGGCCATCCTGGGGTAGGGCAGAGGTAACAACCTAAATAAAGCCCCGGAGGCTACGGAGAGCATTTTACATTTAGAGACTAAATTTTGCATTATTTTCTTTTGATCCATAGCTGCAATATTTTAGGAAAAAGTTCATCCCCCTCCCTCCACCATACCCCAGTTTGATTCAGTAAGCCCACTGTACTTACTCCCTGGCTCCAAAATCAGACAAGCCATCTCCTCCCCCAACCCCCCTGTGGTGGTGTTTGCTGGGCTCCAGGCCTCTCAGGGCTCCTATGAGGTCATTTTAGTAACTGAAGGGCTCTGTGCCACACCTGCTTCATATAAAAGTCAGCCTCAAAACAAGTAATATTACATTTGAGAGCTGTCAGTGTCTTTATCTGGCATATTTTTTTACTCAGTGACAAGTATGTGCTTAGAAGTAGTCTATAATACTCGGTTTACATGGTTTTTTCGGTGTATAAGATGCATAAGGAACATCCCAAGTGGCTTTTACTCAGTTATCATGTTTCCTCTTAGTCTTCCCATGGCTAATAGTAAGCAAATCCTGTATAATTTTTTCTCTTAAATCTTTCATTGCAATCCCTAGTTGGAAGTTTGTCTTTCCTTCTTTTTTTCAGTACTTCTTTGATAGGTTTGATTAATGTCTTTAGAAAAAGAAAAGATTCGTTTTTCTTACCCCATAATTAGTATTACTGCAGAGGGAGCCAGAAGCCGGAGCCAGTGGAAGAAAGCCTGGGATGGTGGCTTCATCCTGTGTGTGACCCTCACCACCACCAGGACCCGGCAACAATGCGGCAGCCTTGCTTGTCCTCTTACTATCTTTGTAGCTAAAGATAGAAATCCTTCTACTTTCTCATATGCTGGGAAAGGTCTCTCCAAACAGCCTGCCTGTTGTCCCCAAAGCAAGTCTACTCACAATGTGAAATATTGCATGCACAGCTTTTTCTGGTTTCCTTTTTCTTTTTCCTCCCCCCCAGGTTTTGCAAAGTAACTCTGAAACCAACTTCTGCAGTGGAAGGAATCTGCCCAAGGGCTATTTTTTACCCTGAATAACAATAACTCCCCTAAGAGCGGAAGCTTCTTTTTGCAGAGCTATATTATTGTTATTTGGGACTGATGGACTGTCAGTCTTCTCTGCCGGAAACAGAAATGCTAATCAAGCCTTCAGCAATGATGGGACCTAGGACTCAAACTTCTCCACTTCACTCAGACCCACGTGGACAACGGTTTTGCTGAGTCTTGTTTTTATAGGTCCTTCTGGAGACGTGGCCTGTAAGAAACTCTAGCAATCTAGCGAATATTGTCCTAAATGAGCTCACTGTAGTACATTTTTCACCAAATTACATTAGCATATAAAACTTGGATTATTGATTTCTTCTTTGTTTGTTGTGGTTTCTGGGCAAAAGTCCAGTTTATAGAAACAAAGAGAACATACACACACTTGGATTGAGAGTTAGTTGTCTGTTTATTTGTTCTTTGTTTTAGAGACCGGGGACATGATCCAGAGAGGTGGTATGACTTTGTATTCTGATTTTCTCTACCTAACACCTTCATTAGGCTGCCTTCAAACCTTCCGTGGCACAAGCTTTACATTTTGAATCCAACCTGGAGAGGGAGGAACAGGCAGGGAACCATTTGCCAGGGACAACAGAGTACCTGCCCTTTGCTAAGCACCTACTGGGTATCAAGCAATGATGGCCCCGTATTTACAATATCTCCTCCGGGAGATACTGTAATATCCTCATTTTACAGATAAGGAAATTCTAGCTTAGTGAGGTTAAGTGACTTATTTCAGGTCACCTAGAAGCAAGTGCAAGATTAGTGGCTATTTACTTTAGAAAACAGTCTGGCAGTTCCTCAAAAGGTTAAACATAAAGTTACCATATGACTCAGCAATTCCATTCTTAAGTATGCACCTAAGAGAAGTGAAAATGTTATGTCCACACAAAAACTTGTATAACAATGTTCATAGCAGCATTATTCATAATAGCCAGAAAGTAGAAACAACCCAAATATCCATCAACTAATGAATGGATAAATAAAATGTGGTCCATCTGTATAATGGAATCTATTTGGCCGTAAAGAGAAATGAAGTATTGATACATGCTGAGCCTGGATGAACCTTGAAAACATTATGTTAAGTAAAATAAGTCAGTCACAAAGGAACACATATTGTGTAATTCTGCTTATACAAAATGTCCTGAATGTAGAGAAAATAGATTTGTGGTTGCCAGGGGCTGTGGGGAGAGAGCTTGGGGGAAATGGAGAGTGACTGATAATGGTCCCAGAGTTTCATTTTTGGGTGATGAAAAAAATCCCCTGGAATTGATTCTGCTTGCTTCTAAATTCTAAACTGGCTTTAAAATTGATTGTGATGATGGTTGTACAACTCTGTGACTATACTAAAAACCGTGGAATTGTACACTTTAAATGGGTGAATGGATGTGAATAACATCTAAATAAAGTTAAAAAAATGCGTGACTACTCCCCACTGTGCTTATAGGGAGACGCAATACCACTCAGATCGGGGAGTAACCCGAGATGTTTCTAATGACAGAGACCCAGGTACCAAATAACAAGCAGCAGCAGCGTGTAGCTTTTCAAGTATTTACTAAATGCCTGGCACTGTGCTAAGCACCTTACATATGTTATCTAATTTCATCCTCAAGCGAACCCCATGAGCTTTGTGTTGCTTTTATTCTCATTATGTAGGAGGAAATTGAGGCTTAGAGAGGCTTAGTAATTTTCTCAAGGTCACATATCTATTAAGTACTCCGGATGCCTCTACTGAATAAAGACCTTGGAAACAACTGTGTTGATTTGTCTAAGTCCCAGTATTGTATAGCAGTGGCCAAGAGAAAAGGATCATCAGCTAGATGGCCTGGCTATGACTCGGCATCTGCTTCCTGGGTCCTGTGTACATGTGAGCAAGGTGCTTAAACTCTGTATTCCAGTTTTTCCTCTGTATAATGGGATAGTAAAAGTACTAAACACGTAAGGTTGGAGGATAAACGATATAATATGTAGG